ACAGAGCGAGACTCTGTCTCCAACAAAACAAGACAAAACTTTTCGCCAAGGTGATGGGCAAACTGCAGGGCCACGCGAGTTGCTCTATGTAAATTATTTCTCAGTTGCAAAGAGGGTAACGGGGTGGGGGAGGGGCCGGCAGCCAGAAAGGTCGCGCGGAGCTGGGAGGGCGCGGGTGGCTGGTGACCCGCGTGGATTCCTTCCTGGGAGGACGTTCTGTGCCCGAGCGCCGGACGCTTCTCCTCGGGGAGGGGGCGGCAGGGACCCCCGAGTCCCCGGATTCTGCGGGGAGGGCCGCCCCCTCCCCAGCGCACACGGCGAAGGGACCAGGGCTCCGCGCCCAGACGCTACCGACCGTCCGCCCTGTCCACCTGACCAGACCCCGCGGCGAGCCACCTCTGACCCTTTCCCTTGACCCCACGACAAAGCCCCTCTTTGTTCCCCGTAACATCCCTAGCAGGTCTGTCTAGACTCGGCTGCCGCCGGGCGATTGTCCCCCCCGGGAACGCCTCCGTGGTCTGCGACCCGGCTCCTCCTGGCCCTGCCTGGGCAAGGGACGCTGCAGACGGCCCCGAGGCCAGGGCCTCCCACCTGAGCCTCCCCGGGAGACAGGGAGACAGCAGCGGGCGCCCCGGCCCGCAGCCCGAGACGTGGGGGCGCAGGACTCGCCAAGACCTGGCAGCAAGAGGTGCGGCGGGGAGGGGCAGCCACCCCCCCAGGGGCAGAGGAGAGGGGGGTTCCCTTCTGCGCCCCGACAGCTCCCACCTCCCCGAAGGTGGCCGGAGGGAGACAGCCCGCCCGCCGAACGGGACGCGGGCGCACGGGGCGCGGGACAGGCCCACCCGCAGAGACGGGGACGGGCAGACACGGGTGGCGGGAGCGGGGTTAGGGGTGCCGTGGGAGGCGGAGGGGTTCCTTGTACAGACCCAACCCCCGCGCATGGGAAAGGTCCTTCGCCGCAGGGCACGGCCGCCACCCCCGCCACGGACGGAACGCGCGGCTGCACCTGCGACCTCGCCCCTCACCGTCACCCGCGCGGGTCTCCGCGTCGCGCCAAGAACACCCCAAGGCGCGTATATATGTGTATATATATATATATTTTTTTTTTCTTGCGGGCTGGATCGCACCCGTCCAGAGGCGACACCTTTTGAACAGGTGAAATCTGCTATTCTCGGGCCCGGGCACTGGGGGGGGGACACTGAGCCTCGGGCGGAAGAGTCCGGACCCCACCCACGGCGGCTCACTGGGCGCCCCGGCTCTGCCGCCTTCTAGAACCGGCGAAACTCACCTAAAGTGGCGGGAAAAGTCAGCGGGGAAGTTTAGGCGGCGGGGTGGGGCAGCACCGGGAAGGGGCCTCTGTGAGCGAACCAGGCGGAACCAGGGAATGTTCCAGATCTTGACCCGGACTGAGGGGGAGGGGGTCGCACGGGTGTAATGTCATTGGCACTATACGCGCAGGTGGGCTCCGGTTTGGGGTTTTTTTTCCCCTTAAAAAGGGAAACCAGGCCGGGCGCGGCGGCTCACGCCTGTCATCCCAGCACTCTGGGAGGCCGAGGCGGGAGGATCGCTGGAGGTCAGGAGTTGGAAACCAGCCTGAGCAAGAGTGAGACCCCGTCTCTACTATAAATAGAAAGAAATTAATTGGCCAACTAAAAATATATAGAAAAAAATCAGCCGGGCGTGGTGGCGCATGCCTGTAGTCCCAGCTACTCGGGAGGCTGAGGCAGGAGGATCGCTTGAGCCCAGGAGTCTGAGGCTGCTGTGAGTGAGGCTGACGCCACGGCACTCACTCTAGCCTGGGCAACAGAGCGAGACTCTGTCTCAAAAAAAAAGGGAAACCAGTGAGATCGGGGAAGGCCGGCATCCTTCTAGCCGGGGGCGACGCATAAGTTCCCCCTGGCCCGCGGACTCCGGGAAGAGCGTGCAGCGTGGAGACTCGGGTCGGGAGAGGCGCGGGCCGCGCAGAGGGCGAATGCCGCTGGGCGCAGGATGAAAAGCGGCCGTGCTCCACCGACCGGCCCGAAGCAGCTCGCAGGGATTCCCAAAGATTGTTTAATTGATTTTTCCTCCTATTTAGATGCAGATCACAGCGTCTGGGGCCCGGGAACCAGACACCAGGCTTTGTGTCCACTCAGCCCCGTGAAGGCTCCTGTCTGAAACCCGCACAAAGGCAGACACACAAGTCCTCAGAAACACGCTGTTCCTTTTTGTCTGGGACCCGGGGAGCGGGTGCGCGGCCGGCCGGGGACATGCTCCCATCTGCGCCCGGCCCGCCCCGCGGCCGCTGGCCCAGTGCGCGGAGGAGAAGGGGGAAAACAAAAAACAACAACGCCAGGGAAGCAGCTCCGGGTCTGGGAGCCGGGATGACAGACGGAGGTGGGGCGATGCGGGCCGGGGGCAGGAGGGCCAGCTGGGGGTGCCGCCGCCGGGGTTCAGGTTGGATCTCTGTGCGGATCGGGGCCCTGGAGCGGGAAGCGGGGGACACTTTAAATCAGGCGGCTAATGGGCTACGATTAACACGGGCCGGGCCGCGGTCTCCACCGGCCTGATTTATACAAGGGGGAAACCTGCCCCTTTCTCTCTGCTCATTGTTCCCAGGTCTGGCCCTGCCAATGCCCCATCTGGCAAAGGGACGGGGAGGGCTCTGCAGACAGACACCCTGCTCCCCGCGCCACCCCAGCACCGGGAAAGGCAGCCCTTCCCGCCCCCGCCGTGCAGACCCTTCCTCCCCCCAGCTGCCTGGAGGTGACTAAGGCGGAGAGGGTCTTGAGGGGTCAAGGCGCTGGCGACCCCGCAAGGTCAAGACACCCCCCGCCGGCTCCTCCCAAACGTGGGAAGCAGCTGCCCGAAACACGCCGGGTTGGAGAACCCTCGCGCTTGGCCGCTCGGGACCCAACGCCAGTCACGGTTCGCCTCCGAGCAAACAGCAAAGATGCTCCACGCAAAGGGGAGAGCTGCCGCAGCCGGAGGACTCCCGGGCTGAGGCGGGCAGCCTCCCGCCTAAGCAAGCGGGGCCCGGAAACGCACCGTCTGTGCCCACTCCCGGGCCCTCCCAGTCCCCAGAGCTGTGGCCGCTAGCCGGGCCGGGCGCCGCGGAAGCAATGCCACTCCTGTTTCTTGGCGTCGCCGAGGAGAAGCCCCTCCACCGCTCCTCCAGGCCTCAGTTCCCTCATCTGTAAAGTGGGCGCGAGAATGATCGCGCCTACCCCGCGGGGGGCGGGGGGTTGTGGGGAGCGTTGGGCGCCCAAGAGCACGTGAGCCAGAAGACGGGTGTATCTGACGTAAACGCTTGGCAGGAGGAGACCTTCTGGGGGGCCATAATTTTCTGGGGGGAGCCCAGCGCCGAGCCTGACTGGTGCCCTCCAGATGTGCGTTACCTGAACTGCGATCCAGCTGGCGTTCACGGTGTGCTCCCCGAAAGGGCCGAACCCTGGAAGAGAGGAACGGGGAAGGCAGCGTGTGATCGCAGAGGGGCGCTCGCCACCCGGCCCGCCCCAAGCTGGGCCGCTGACCCCACACCCCACCCCACCCCAGGAGCAGCGGGAAAATTCCTGCAGCAGCTGCCACCTGCAAGAGTGCTGGGGGGCTGGCCCGGAGTTCTGGGGGGGCCTGACTCTCATGCCTCGTCAGGAGGAAGCGGGCTCTTTCGCCCCAGACAAGCCTGGCCTGTTCCTTTCTCAGCTGTCCCCACGACTCTGTGGCCCAATCTTGTAGTTATTTTATGACCGTCTTTCGGGGGGGGGACGTCTCCCCCAACTCTGCAGGGGGAAGATGCTCCGTGAACCCCCCCCCCCAAGGAGGAGCGGCCCTGGTCGGACACACGCGCACGGGGCTTTCCGAAGCCGCCCGCTAGCCCCAACTCCAGGCCCCCTTTCCAAACCAAGGTCGTCGGCGGGGAACACACGCTCGGCGGCCTGCCTGGCGGCTCGGGACACCCTCTTTGCAGGCAAGGGTGTTTCCCAGGCCCAGTTTACGGGAGCCAGGGACTGACGCCCAGAGAGGTAAAGCCAGCTGCCCAAGGTCCCCCAGCAACACGGTGGGAGGGCTGGAACTTTCGAAACCCGCACACTGCAGAAGTTCAGGGCCTGGGCTTTTCTCCTCTTTGTTAAATCCCCGATCGTCCTCGCAGGTCTAAAAATCGCCGACGGCCCAGGCGCTTGGGCTCACGCCTGTCATTCCCGGCCTCTGGGAGGCCAAGGCGGGAGCGCTCACTCGAGGTCAGGCGTTTTGAAAAAGCAGCCTGAGCAAGAACCAGACGCACCGTCTGCTCCATAATAGAAAGAAATTAACTTGGCCCAACGTAATATACTATTGAAAAAAACTGGCGGGCGGTGCTCACCGCGTGTTAAGTCCTAAGCTTTCTCTGCGGGAGGCCGAGGTGGGCGGATTGCCTCGAGGTGGGAAGTTCGAAACGCAAGCCTGAGCAAGAGCAAGAACCCCGTTCTCTACTATAATGAAAGAAAATTAATGGGCAACTAATATATATATATAGAAAAATTAGCCGCATGGTGGCTTCATGACTGTAGTCCCAGCTGACTCGGAGGCGTGAAAACAGAAAGGACGCGCTTGAGCCCAGGAGTTTGAGGTTGCTGTGAGGCTAAGGCTGACCGCCACGGCACTCACTCTAGCTAGCAACAAAGCGGGACTCTGTCTACAAAAAAAAAAACAGAAAAAAGGAAAAAAAAAAAGAAAAACTTAGCGCGGGCGTGGTGGCGCATGCTGTAGTTCCGCTACTCAGGAGGCTGGGGCGGAGGATGCTTGAAGCCAGGAGTGGAGGTTGCTGTGACAGCTAGGCTTGCGGCACGGCACTCAATCTAGTCGGGCGACAAAGCGGACTCCGTCTCAAAAAAAAAAAAAAAAAAAAAATTCGCGGAGCTGGGCCAAGGATCTCCTGTGAGGTCAGCGCCAGGCCGGGAGGGAGGCTGTGTCCCGACAAAGCAGGTGGCCGCCGCAGCCCAGGGGGGCAGCCTCTCCGCCCGCTCCTGCCCCACGGCTGAAGTTTGAGTCCCAGCTCAGGCCACTTACAAACCAGGCGACCTCCATGTGGTGGCTCGGTTTCCCTTTCTGCAAAATGGAGCCGGCGCAAATGTCCCCAGCTGATAAGGGAGAAGGAGGAAGGCTCTATCAGCACCACTCCCTCCCATGACACGAAACTGTGGAAAGGTTGAAGCGCCGCCTCTTCCGCCCGCCCAGGTACTCCAGGGCCAGCCCTGGCTTCCCGTCCGCGGTCGCAAAACACCTGTTTGAACCCTGGCTGCATTTCCCACTCTGACCCCGGCAGGACTGCAGGTCGAAATGACCCCCCCACTCTGAGGCCCCAGCGGAAGTTGACACGCCACGTGGGCCCTAGGCGGAGCCTCGGGGAGGAGGAACAGTTGGTTTGGGGGCAGTCGGTGACAGCGGGGCCCGGGCCCACCACCGAGCAACCGAGGCACAAAAGCTTTCCGGCGGAGACAGTCCCAGGGGCAGCCGGGGAGCGGACGCGCGCCAGGGGTCCCCGGGCCCCACCTGTCTCTGCACCTGGGGAGCAGCCCCCCGTTACCGCAGGGCGCGGGGAGCAGTGGCGGGGGGGGGGTCAAGGCTGGCCGGGCGCGGGTGGCGGGGCGCAGGGCCGGGTGTGAGCGCTCCGGGTGCGGGCCGCGGGGTGCGGGCGCTCTGGGGCTCGGGCGCGGGATGGCGGGG